AAAGGGTTCAGTTCGAAATTCCAACCACCTGAAGAAGGCCAGAGTATACAATGGTCGCAACTTTGTGATAAATATGGCGACAAAGATGAGGACAATAGTCCAAATAATGTAATTATGTTAAGATTTAGTAATTCAAAATGGGGGATCAGTTTATTACTTAATAACAATAGAAAACCGATCCCTCACTTCATTTCCAGTAAAATAATATATTAATACTAGTTAAAGTGATCTTGGCAAAAATGGCTAATTTTGTTATTAGAATGTTTTTACATGTGTGTCTTTAAATATACTTTTTCCAATTGTTTGTTTGCTTAACTGCATATCAACATCTTATGGGTCATTTAATTTAATTTTCTTGGGAGCTTAAATAATTTTTTCTTTTACAAAAATCTGTTACTGGTAAATCTATTTTTTTTAATCTATTGCGAGTATTATTTTAATATGAAAATGTAATTTTATACTTTCAGTTTTTTGACCCCACTTAGGGGGTTCACTATCATAAGTGGGACCCCCCCCCCTGCTAACAGGTGCTACCACCCAAGCTCAGGGTGGACCTGGGAACAACAGCAATTAAGAGGTGGTTTCACACTCATCTAATTCCCTTAACGATCAAAGGCCTTGCTGACAGATGTAGTTGATTGTCATACCCAACTTTTTCTGATTAATAGTAATTCAGGATGGGGGATCAGTTTAATATTTAATAACAATAGAAAACTGATCCCCAACTTTAAGTCCAGTAGAGGCTTTAATTGTTTCCAATTATTATATTATGTAGTAATTCTTGGGGGATCAGTTTATTACTTAATAACAATAGAAAACTGTTCCCCCACTTTATGTCCCATAAAATCTTATATTAATACTAGTTAAGTCAATGTTATCAAAAATGGTTTTATTTTGTTATTGGAAAGCTTTCATCTGTAAGCCTTTAAATACACTTTTTCCAATTATATTAATTAAGGATTGGGGATCAGTTTATTACTTAATAACAATAGAAAACCGATCCTCCACTTTATGTCCAGAAGAATAATATATCAAGTCTAGTTAAGCCGGTGTTGTCAAAAATGACTAATTTTGTTATTAGGTTTTCACATATGAGTCTTTAAATATACTTTTTCCAATTATCATATTAATATTAATTAGTAATTCAGAATGGGGGATCAGTTTATTACTTAATAACAATAGAAAACTGATCCCCAACTTCATGTCCAGAAGAATAATATATCAATTGTAGTTAAGCCTGTGTTGTTAAAAATGACTAATTTTGTTATTAGGTTTTCACATGTGAGTCTTTAAATATACTTTTTCCAATTATTATATTAATATTAATTAGTAATTCAGATGGGGGATCAGTTTATTACTTTAACAAGTATTAATATAAGATTCTGCTGGACATAAAGTTGGGGATCAGTTTTCTATTGTTATTAAGTAATAAACTGATCCCCCATTCTGAATTACTATCAAACCCATGTTATCAAAAATGGCTTATTTTTTTATTAGTAGGTTTACACGTAATTATAGTATGACCTGAGAGTTGCGATAAAAAGTAGTAGATAAAAGTTTCTTTATTTCGTTTGTATTTTCAAGATGAAGGACTAACATTCTTATACATTGGGATAGAACATTCTTATACATTGGGATAGAACATTCTTATACATTGGGATGGAATGGTAGGTAAGTGCAATCGAGATTTGAACATTCAATACCTCAACAAGAAGTTGATAAACAAAGAAACTTTTCTTTTTTGCATTTTGCGTAATATGAGAAGTGAAAAGATTTCTTACATTTCTTTGTCATGTGTCTAACTTTTTAATTTGACTGGAGGTCGTAATTCAAACACTGATTTATTTATTAGTTTCAGTTTCATCGAAGTTTCAACCTCTTCAGCCAGTCAGCGAGATGAACAGATAACACTACTTGCTATACATTTTTTTTGCACAATCTGCGTAACTGATAAATATTTTTCTTATGAATTTGATACTGACTTTAATCACCATTGCAGTGATGCTGATAGGTTTTTACTGTTCGTTTGATTTCTCTTTTTTTTTTTTAATTGGATTCACCCCAAGTAAGGTAGTAATGTCACTAAAACACAAAGGGTTACTGATTGTGGAAGAATTAAAAACAAAAACATTAATAATGAATGGCAAGAGAAAAGAGTAAACAGTAAAGTTCTTTTGAATATTTAATAGGCAGAACTTGGGAATTGATTTACAAACACAATATTACACTCCTTTTTGGCTTATAAATGTTGTCACATTTTCACAAAAAAAGAAATTATTTCAGTTGACCTTAATAAATACATCAGCAGTCATTTTTGTATTGTTAAGAGTTGAATATCAAGTCAATGACACATTGAATACTTTCTGGCCTTGTTCTATCCAATCGTTGCTATCTTATACTATGACATGGCATACAAAAATTTTGTTGGCGTCATGTATAAGCATATAGAATTTCCTTATTCCATGCAATAGATAGATTAATATCCTCATCCTTGTTGGTTTTATCATTACATTTTGGCAGATGCATTCTTTGGCCTTCCTCATTGTCTGAAATTTTGACATGCATTATTATCATTATTCCATGGCTTCTTCGGACTAATATCCTCATCCTTGTTGGTTTTTTTCATTGGCAGATTCATTCTTTGGCCTTCCTTATTGTCTGAAATTTTGACATGTGTTATTATCATTATTCCATGGGTTGTTTGGACTAATATCCTCATCCTTGTTGCTTTTATCATTACAATTTGGCAGATGCATTCTTTGGCCTTCCTCATTATCTGAATTTATGCCATGAATTATTCAGACTAATATCTTCATTGTCACTGTTTAAAATCAATAACTTTCTTCTGATTTGTCCATTGTTCTTCCTCCTTTATACAACATAAATTAATGAAAAAACTCACATGTGGAAGGCAGAAAAACAGACCAGCTGAAATGGTGTGCGGGTGTTATCTAGCTATTATTGTATGTTCATCGTAAAACAGGCAATTATTTTTATTTTTATTTTTTTGTTCTATAGTTCAGACATTTTTGTAAATTTAAAATAATAGCAATGTCACTAAAACACAAACAGTTACTGAGTTTTGAAGAATTAGAAACAAAAACATTAATAATGAATGGAAAGAGAAAAGAGTAATCAGTAAAGGATTAAATAAGCCATGATTACAATTAAATGAAAAATAATAGGGGAAAAAAACATGAGCCTATAAAAACTTTATTATATCCAAAGGTAAGAAAACAAAATAAAAATCAAGCAATAATTACAATTAAGCAAAATGGTACAGTTACCATTAAAATTTGATTCATTTTCAAATCCATAAAATTCCTCGTCTTCATTATCAAAACTCTGATACTTATTTTCAATACTACTATCATCATCGTTAAATAATGCACCATCTTCCGTTCCATTGAGAGCATGGCTAATGCCACACTTTTTAAAAGATTTCACAACAATTTTTAGTCTAATATTATCCCAAGCTTGCTTCACACATTTGCAGACTTGTGCAATGCTGGGTCTTTTATTCTTTGTCTAAGAGTAAGGTTATCATCAGGCATTGCTATCCACGTGTTACATTGCTCCTTCATGTCTAAGCTAATAGAAGTTGCCAGGTAGCTACTTTTGGCCTACTATCGCGAATTTTAAACCTACATATGGCATATAAGAAGCAGGGGAATTTTAAAAGATATTTTTAGTAAAAAAAAAAAAAATGTGTCTTATATGCCATCAAATATAGTAATCATTTATTTTCCTTGTCAAAGGATTTAATTTAAATCCTCAAGGTATCTGCTTCAATGGTTAGACTCCAACTACAATGGTACAATCATATCTTATATACATCATCTCAATGTATATACAATCATATCTTATATACATCATCTCAATCTCAATAGTGGGTATATTAAAGAAAATGGTTATTGTTAAAGACACCCTCTAAATAGAAGTCACTGTCCTTTTTCTATTTCATATAGTTTAAGTCCTGTCATGGGAAGTTAACTAGTTTTAATGGTACAATGGTACAGTCATATCTTATGGTTTATCAATCTTTTTAAGATTATTTAAAGCCAAAACATATTTTGGGATTGTCATTTTTTTTTTTTTTTGATATCATAACGATTTCCTCGGAGCAATTGCCATGAAAGTATTTGGAAAAAAGACAGAGAGAGGCGATGACATGTCTGTGAGAAAGTGACTGTAGACGAGATGCCAGATCAGGGCCAATTATATTGCATATCCGTCTCTGGAGCTTATCAAGAACCCCGAGGCAAACAGAAGTGGCTCCAGAGCACATATGGCAGGAATACTCCATGCAAGGACGAATTGTTGATTTGTACATTTGGAGGATCGATTCCGGGGAGAAAAATTTCCTGGCGCGGAGCAGCATATCAACACCTCTATGGGTTATAGTGATTTTTTAAGCCTGGCTTAGATGTGACACAGGGCCAAAAGTATGGGACACCCAGTGAGGATTGAACTCACTACTCAGTCGTAATTGATCTAGCGAGACAAGCTTTCTAACCATTTCATCACACTGACATGCCCTAATGATTTTCCATGCATAGCTTAGATGTGGCACAAGGCGAACGTATGGAGGTACCCAGTGAGGATTGAACTCACTACTCATTCGTAATTGTTCTAGCAAGACAAGCTTGCTAACCATTACACCGTCTTGGGATTTTGTTTAGAGGCATATCAACACCTCTATGGGTTATATAAAGTTGAACACAATTATATGCCTTCAAGTAAATATATTTTGAATGCAATTGTATGACTTCAACTACAGATAAAATGCATTGTTAGTCAATTTGGTATAAAATTTATTATTGGCTTTTCTGTTATAAAATGTAATGTTGGTCATTTTACTATAAATTATTAACATAAGTTTATCATCATCACTGCGGACTATAGAACTGTACAGAGCATAGAGAAACATTACAAAAGATTTATTTCCCTTTGTTGCAATCTGCCATTAGATTGATATTATCTCTCCAGTAAACAAATACAGATAAACAGATAGATATGAACAGACTGAGATAGATAGATATGGATAGATAGATAGATAGATAGATATGAACAGATAGATAGATAGATAGATATGAACAGATAGATAGATAGATAGATAGATAGATAGATAGATAGATAGATATGAACAGACTGCAATAGATAGGTTGACAGATATGAACAGACTGCGATAGATAGATTGACAGATATGAACAGACTGTAACAGATAGATTGATAGATATGAACAGACTGATAAATAGATTAACAGATATGAACAGACTGCAATAGATAGATTGACAGATATGAACAGACTGTGATAAATAGGTTGACAGATATGAACAGACTGCGATAGATAGGTTGATAGATATGAACAGACTGCGATAGATTGATAGATATGAACAGACTGCGATAGATAGATTGACAGATATGAACAGACTGCAACAGATAGATTGATAGATATAAACAGACTGTGATAGATAGATTGACAGATATGAACAGACTGCGATAGATAGGTTGATAGACATATGAACAGACTATGATAGATAGATTGACAAATATGAACAGACTGTGATAAATAGATTGACAGATATGAACAGACTGCGATAGATAGATTGACAGATATGAACAGACTGCGATAGATAGGTTGACAGATATGAACAGACTGCGACAGAGAGATTGACAGATATGAACAGACTGCGACAGATAGATTGACAGATATGAACAGACTGCAACAGATAGATAGATAGATATGAACAGACTGTGATAAATAGATTGACAGATATGAACAGACTGCAATAGATAGATTGACAGATATGAACAGACTGTGATAGATAGATTGACAGATATGAACAGACTGCGATAGATAGGTTGATAGACATATGAACTGAATAAGATAGATAAATTCCGCCCTCCTCAAAATCTCCAAACACCCAATTAGTGACCTTGCTGCTGGATGTAGTTTATCATCAAACTCAGAACTATGGAACTGTACAGAACTTATAGAAACATTGTAAAATATTTCCCTTTGTTGCAATCTGCCATTAGATTGACGTTATCTCTCTGGTAAGCAAATAAATCCAATTTGACCCAATTTTGTCCATTTTGAGTCATGGAAAAAAAGGGATTAAATTCTGAACTGAAGTATGAGATGCAACAGATATTCGGACACAATTTTTGAAGAACTATCTTGCATTTTATAGGCACAGCATTGTGTAAGTCAATACAAAAGTAGGATTTCCTGATGACACCTTGTAGTACAAGAAGCCATAAAAAGAAAAAAATGGAAAACAAGTAACTCTTACCTGCGTAGGAGTGGATTTGGCACCTGACTAAATTCAAGGCACATAAATCGGCCCCCAGGACGAAGAACTCGATAAGCTTCAGAAAGAGCCTGAAAGAAAAAAAAAAGTTCATTGTGCAAAAACTGTAGGCCATTAATGTGTGATTTTTATTGATTCATTCATTTTCTATGGCTTATCAACAACCAAAAATTATAAGTGGATATAAAGTGGGGGATAGATTCTACATTACAATCAATATATAAACTGATCCCTCACCTTTTGGCCATTGCCATTTCTATACGATTATATTCTGGAGAATGTAAATAAATCTAAAAGGCATGCCTGTGTAGCTAATCAGTATTTCATTAATTGATTCGTTTTCTACAGCTTATCAACAACCAAGAAATTATGTGGACATAAAGTGGGGAATCAATTTTATATTACAATCAATATATGAACTGATCCCTCACTTTGTGGCCGCTGTTGCTTCTATGTTTATATTCCAGAGAATGTAAATAAATCTGAAAGACATTGTAGCTAATCAATATTTGATTGATTGATTGATTCGTTTTGTACAGCTTATCAACAACCATGAAATTATAGGTGGATATAAAGTGGGGGATCAGTTCTAAATTAGAATTAATATACAAAATGATCCCTCAATTTGTGCCCACGGTAGTTTTTATATATTTATATTCCAGAGAATGTAAATAAATCTAAAATAGATGTCTGTGAAGCTAATCCATTATTCTACTGTGCTTCATATTTAAATATTTTGAGATTGTAAGATTTTTTTTGAGATAATAATGATTTAGTATTAAACATCTTACTAATTAACCCATAGCTGGGGGGGGAGAAGAGGTGGATTCACACCTTTCCCAATGGTATTTGCATGTAAGTGAATAAAACATACCTAACTGAAATTGAAATTCAGCTCTCTGATTAACAATTCCAAGCCATTATCCATGAGCTGACAAAATTTTTCTCGACAACTGACAGCAAAAATGTTAAATATTTATTACACTGTTTATTTACAAGTAAAATTTTATATTTACAAGATTAAAAAATATGTGAATCAACTACTGTTGAATATTTATCACTTACCATATTATGAAATAACTAGAAAAAAAAAATTTTATTCATAAATTTACAAAAATGCCTGAACTATAGAACAAAAAAATTTAAATAAAAATAATTGCCTGTTTTACGATGAACATACAATAATAGCTAGATGACCCCCACCAAATTTCAACTGGTGTGTTTTAATGCCTTCCACACAAGGTTTTTTTTTTCCATTAATTTATGTTGTATAAAGGAGGAAGAACAATGAACAAATTAGAAGAAAGTTATTAATCTAAACAGTGACAATGAAGATATTAGTCTGAATAATTCATGGCATAATTTTAGATAATGAAGAAGGCCAAAGAATACATCTGCCAAAATGCAGTGATAAAAGCAACAATGATGAGGATATTAGTCTGAAGAAGCCATAGAATAATGAAAATGATTCATGTCAGAATTTCAGACAATGAGGAAGGCCAAAGAATGCATCTGCCAAAATGTAATGATAAAACCAACAAGGATGAGGATATTAATCTATCTATTGCATGGAATAAGGAAATTCTATATGCTTATACATGACACCAACAAAATTTTTGTATGCCATGTCATAGTATAAGATAGAAATGATTGGATAGAACGAGGCCAGAAAGTATTCAATGTGTCATTGACTTGATATTCAACTCTTAACAATACAAAAATGACTGCTGATGTATTTATTAAGGTCGACTGAAATAATTTCTTTTTTTGTGAAAATGTGACAACATTTATAAGCCAAAAAGGAGTGTAATATTGTGTTTGTAAATCAATTCCCAAGTTCTGCTTATTAAATATTCAAAAGAACTTATTTAATCATTTACTGTTTACTTTTCTCTTTCGATTCATTATTAATGTTTTTGTTTCTAATTCTTCCACAATCAGTAACCCTTTGTGTTTTAGTGACATTACTATTATTTTTTATTCATGAATTTATAAAAATGTCTGAACTATAGAACTAGAAAATTTAACTAAAAATAATTGCCCGTTTAACAATGAACATATAACAATAGCTAGATAACACCCGCACACCATTTCAGCTGGTGTGTTTTTCTGCCTTCCACATGTGAGTTTTTTTCAATAATTTTTGTTGTATAAAGGAGGAAGAACAATGGACAAATCAGAAGAAAGTTATTAATTTTAAACAGTGACAATGAAGATATCAGTCTGAATAATTCATGGCATAAATTCAGATAATGAGGAAGGCCAAAGAATGCATCTGCCAAATTGTAATGATAAAAGCAACGAGGATGAGGATATTAGTCCAAACAACACATGGAATAATGATAATAATGCATGTCAAAATTTCAGACAATGAGGAAGGCCAAAGAATGAATCTGCCAATGATAAAACCAACAAGGATGAGGATATTAGTTCGAAGAAGCCATGGAATAATGAAAATGATTCATGTCAGAATTTCAGACAATGAGGAAAGCCAAAGAATGTGTCAGTCAAAATGTAGTGATAAAACCAACAAGGATGAGGATATTAATTTGTCTATTGCATGGAATAAGGAAATTCTATATGCTTATACATGACGCCAACAAAATTTTTGTGTGCCATGTCATAGTATAAGATAGAAATGATTGGATAGAACGAGGCCAGAAAGTATTCAATGTGTCATTGACTTGATATTCAACTCTTAACAACACAAAAATGACTGCTGATGTATTTATTAAGGTCGACTAAAATAATTTCTTTTTTCTTTTTTTGTAAAAACGCGATAACATTTAAATGTGAAAATGAGTGTAATACTGTGTCTGTAAAAAGTCAATGAATTAAAAATTAATTCCTAAGTTCAGTCTATTAAATATGCAAAAGAACTTATTTAATTCTTTAAGGATGTTGTAGTCCTCAAATATTACACACCATTTCTTACCTTGCTCCACAAATTAGTAGTGAAGAAGGCCAGAGAATGCATCAGCTGAAATGTTATGATAAAACCAATATGGATGAGAACTGATCGATTCATTCATTTTTTATGGCTTGTCAACCTTTTGCAGGTTATTTATAGCCAGAAAATACTTTTAGATTGGAGATAATAGTTTAGTGTTACAAGTCTTACTATTTAACCCATAGCAAGGGGAGAAAAGATGGATTCTAACCTTTTCCAAGGTTATTTGCACCTAAGTGAACATAACGAACCCAATTGATATTAGAACTCGGCTCTCTGATTAACAATTCCAAACCAAGTGGTGTAAGCTTGGATGTGCAGGTGGCGTAATGGCTAACGACTTGGAACGAGAAATCAGAGTTCAGTTCAAATTTAAGTTAGAGTTACATGCAAAAATACCCTTGGGAAAGGTATGATTCTACTTCTTCTCTCCCAGCTATGGGTTAAATTGTAGAAGTTGTATCAGAAAATCATTATGATCTCAAAAAAAATTTACAATCCATAAATATGTTTTGGCTTTAAATAATCTTAAAAAGATTGATAAACCATAAGATATGACTGTACCATTGTAGCTGGAGTCGTACCATTTAAGCAGATACCTTGAAGATTTAATTAAATCCTTTGACAAGGGAAATAAGTGATTACTGTACTTGATAGCATATAAGGCACACATTTTTTTTTTACTAAAAATATCTTTTAAAATTCCCTTGCATCTTATATGCTATTGGAAAAGGTATGAATCTTCTTCTCCCCCAGCTATGGGTTAAATTGTAGGTGCTGTATCAGTTGTATCATTTTCATTAATATATCCACAATTTGAAACACCCAGACAATATTGAGAGATGCATATAAAATTTTAAATTCATGATAGTCGGCTAAAATTAGCTACCTGGCAACTTCTATTAGCTTAGACTTAAAAGGAACAATGGAACACATGGATGGCAATGCTTGATCACAACCTTACACTTACAGGAAGAATAAAAAGACCCAGCATTGCATAAGTCTATGAATGGGTTAAGGAAGCTTGGGATAATATTAGACCAGAAACTGTTGTGAACTCTTTTAAAAAGTGTGGCATTAGCAATGCTCTCTATGGAACAGAAAATGATACATTATTTAACGACGATGATAGTAGAATTGAAAATAAGTATCAGAGTTTTGATAACAAAGACAATAAATTTTATGGATTTAAAAATGAATCAAATTTTAATGGTAACTTTACTGTTTTGCTTAATTGTAATAATTGCTTGATTTTTATTTTGTTTTCTTACCTTTGGAGATAATAAAGTTTTTATAGGCCCATGTTCTTTTTTTTCCTATTTTTTGTTTAATTGTAATCATGGCTTGTTTAACCAAAATAATACCTCATAAATATAGCCTAGGCTGTACCATTTACTAATAATTTTACTATTTTTACTAATTACTAATTTTTTCTTGATTTTCCTTGCTGAAATTGGGGTGCGTCTTATACACCTGTACATTTCATATGCCATCAAATATGGTAAGTGACATAGTATATAATCAGAGAAATAATTATCCCTAGTAGAATCTAAGAAAAAAAAACACACACACACACAACACCCCTTCACTGGAAATATTGAATGTTAAAAGAAACCAAAAAATATATAAATCCACTTGATATATTAGCTTTTCTTTTTTTTCACAACAATTCAATTTCAGGGTTCAACCAGGATAAAAAGGAACAATTCATTCTGGCAAACTCAATGAAATACCAGATTTTAAAGTAAAAAGGGTCTTTAAAATTTAATATTTTCTAAAAAGATGATTGCTCACTTTTTAATCATACATTTTTTTTTTTTTCGTTATGTTAAATTTAAAAATAAATATCAAAAGAAAATGAGTTCTGGGGGATAAAACAACTTCCATGACAGGACTTAAACTATATGAAATAGAAATAGGACAAACTTCTATTTAGAGGGTGTCTTTAACAATAACCATTTTCATTAATATACCCACTATTTGAAACACAGAGACAACATTGAGATGATGTATATAAAATCAACTGTACCATTGTAGTTGCAGTCTAACCATTCAGATACCTTGAGGATTTAAATTAAATCCTTTGACAAGGGAAATAAGTGATTAATTGACACAGGATTAGAAAATAATCAGTAATAATTATTTGGTACAACCTAATGATATTCTGGAGGAAAAAGGTAGATATTTGATAAAATTATTTTTAAGTAAAAATATAATTTGGTTTTTAACAAGATCAAAATAAAAAAAGAACCTTCAATCTTTTTGGGTTACAAAAAGAAAATCCGGAGCCTTTTCTTGACTCTAGACTGAAGGCTACAAATGACATTGAGAAGATATACATTTCTTCTGCTTACTTTAAAAATAGTCTGTTAGGCAGCCACCCATAGGAATCAGCTTTCTACCTTTGTCCCCAGTGGCAAGGTCGAAACTCATTTGTCATAGATCCTATCTAAAGAGATAGATAGCTGGAAATATAGAGCAAGAATTTTTTTTTTTCTATTGAAGTGAAAGGTGGTAGTCAAGAATAAAGTTCATTTCTAACAATGTAACTCGTCATAAGAGAGACTAAGCAATTTTTTGCCAATTAGCATTTCATAATCATACACGAAGATATTTAATAAAGAAAATCAAACTGAATGCCAGGAAAAATTTCTTAGACCCAACCCTTAATGGTGAGTCATATTTCATATCAGCTAATTCTAAACTTGTCTCCCTAGCATGGGGGCAAACATTTCTCCTCATTTTACCCAGCCATTAATATCCCCTACCAAGTTTTTTCAAGAAATAGGACTCAAGATAAACCTTTCTGAAATGGAATGAAAGCAGTGATGGAACCTACCCTAAATCCATCACGGAACCAAAATTAAAAATAAAAAGTCACTTTCTGTGCAGGGAAACAAAAAATTAATATCTCCTACCAAGTGTTCTAAGAAATACGTCTCAAAATAAACCTTCCGGAAAAACAGAAACTGGAACTGAAATGAAAGCCATGATGGCACCTAGCCTTAATCCATTATAAAAATTCTGAACACGGAATTAGTAAATACTAAACACTTTAAACACCTCATCATGTGGATCAGTTATAACAAATTTAATAAGAAATAAAAATTGAACATAGAATAGGCTGTCAGAGAGATCCAATAAAGTAAATTGCTAAAAAAAAAAAAAAAATCAACCAAAAAACTCAAGTCATGTTTTTAAATAGCCTCATTAGATCCAAACTATTATATGAATATCGTACATATCACCAAAACTGTTCAGAAATATCTAAACTGTCAGATACATACAAGCACTTTGGAGAAGATCATCCTTCTTTGAACATTGAGGCATGGCACTACAAAGAGCTGTACCAACTCACAGAAATCACATCACTAAAGGACTGCCAACAGCAGCAACAACTAAAATGGATAGCACTTGTAACTCAGAAAGAAAATAATGACATAATCAAGATGTTGACATTCTACACTACTTCAAACAAAAGGTTAGGAAGGAAACTTTCCATCAATACTGGAAAGAGTGATAACAGCTACTGGGCATGAGAAGAAAAAATAATGATATAATCAAGATGTTGACATTCCACATTACTTCAAATAAAAGGTTAGGAAGGAAACTCCCCATCAATACTGGAAAGAGTAATAACAGCTACTGGACTTGAGAAACCTATTATCTTGAAAAATTGTTTTAAGAGAAAGATTTTATAGATTTCAACCGAAGGCAGTATTTGCTACTCGATCAATGAATGCTAAATATTTCCTAGTAGGGAAATGACTAATATTTACGGTATACACCCACATCATGTTGAAACACCGATTTCTGTATGATCACCAAAGTTAAGCAACATCAAGCCTAGTCAGTACCTAGATGGGTGACCACTTGGGAATATCAAGTGCTGTAAGTTTGGTTGTATGGGTTGTATAATGGATAATGACAAGCAATTTTTAATTGGAGAACCAAGTTCCAATTCCAGTTGGGTTTGTTATATTCACTGACTTGCAAATACTCTTGTGAAAGGTATGAATCAACTTCTTCTCCCTCCAGCTATGGGTTAAACAGTAAGATATGTATCATTAAACTATTATTACCTCCAAAAATAAAATAAAATTGTGTACAAAAAATATTTAGATTTTGGCATTAAATGACCTATAGATGTTAATATGTCGCTAAACAAAAACAACCAACAAACTAATATTAACAATAGAGATAAGGAGAGCAGATACTACACTTTGATCCCAACCATTCTATTATTATGAATGTCAATTGCAAAAATGATAATAATCTCATGAGCTTTTTGTCTCAAATTTTTAAGATGACAAATTAACATTATGATACACTGATGTGTTTACAAGTGTTTTCTTATTGGTCATTATAGTAATAAAGTTTCGGCTTTTGTACTTTCTAGCCTTCTTCAGGTGTTTGTTAAAATTTGAAACCTTTCGGGAATTTCAAACTGAATCAGGTCTCTCCAACTGCTCATCGAGCCCAAGTGTTGGAGTTTATAAAATGACTGAATTCTAAAGTGCTCAACCAGCAGGAACCTATCCTCAGGCATTATGAGTCACTACCCACATCAAAAATGGCTATTCAGGTAAAAAGAGAACAGGTTAAAATTGTTTTGTGTCAGATTCAATGTCTTCTTAACTGAGCAATGGTGAGAGGAAAAAGATCATTCAGGCCTTCAGTAATGGTACCAACATTCATACCCTGGCTTCTATCTTCAAAGTACATTCAAGGACCATCAAGAGAACAGTGAATAAGTTTAAAAAAGAGGGAACAGTTGAGAGGAAAATTGGATCAGGAGGTTACAAAAGCAAGAGGGATCATCATTTCAATTTAGAGCTAAAGAGATCAATTAGAAAAGATCCAACTCAATCCATAAGACATTTGGGACATGAGAGATGAGTTTCAGCTATGACAGTCCAAAGAGCAGTGAAAAAGGACTTGAAAATTAAATCATATGTGAAACCTTTTTTTGCGCCTTGTCATTCCAGGACAGATAGTTAGATGGTTAGAGGGGGGTGCATTTAAATAGTGTAAATAATAACTGCTAATCTCATTTTGGTGTAATAGATATTGGTTTGGAAATAGAAATCAGAGAGACAATTTTGAATTCCAGTCAGGCCCATTACATTCATTTATGTACATATACCATTGGGAGAGGTATAAATCCATCTCTTTCCCCCCCCCAGCTATGGGTTGAATAGCAGAACAGACTGGTCTGATAGCCTTGATTGGCAACCAGACTACTGCAGAAAGAACTGGCAACCTACAAACTACTGCAGGAAAATATTCTGCCTAGTCAGTCACGAATCGAAAAAGACAATCACCCAAGTGTTTACCATGTACATCACATGACTGACTCCCTATTCTCCACTCCCCAGCTATGGGTTGAATAGCAGGAGAGACTAGGTCCTAAAGTCTACCTTAGACATAAACAGCAACCTACTGCAGGAAAATATTCTGCTTAGTCAGCCATGAATCATGAGAGGCATGATCATCCAAGTGTGTATCATGTATGACCCTTAACCGACTAAATTAGTAGCAAGGTCTCACCCTTTTACAGTTAAAATGGCTTGATGTAACTCTTGTACAAATTAATTGAAACAACCATTTTAGTTTCCTTTCTTTTACCATACTGGAGTAACAGGGTGTAATCGATTTCTATTTTTTCCACAGATTAGGTCATTTGCAGTGGTGTACAGTAATATCAATCTGTTTTTGGGGTGTATGATGAAATTTGTTTGGCCTTGAAAAATATTGTGTCATCCGAGATTGCATAAGATGTTCATCACGCCCAGACACTATTGTCTCAACTGTCGATTAGTTGTCCTATGGCCATTGTCTGCAATGGATGTTACTTCAAGGAATTGTATGAAAATTGTAATGCTACATGAACACACTGGCAAGCCTTACCAGTGAACAAATCAAAGTATTATAGACTGACCTGGAAACTCTCTGATTTAAATCCTATCAAAAATCGGTGGTCAATCTGCAAGGAAAGACTTTGTGGAATGGACATACAAAGTACTAACATGTTCACTGGGTCATGTTTCAATGGAAAAATATGAGCAAAATGTAAATAATAATTGAATTATTCATTTTGTTTCAATCAATTTAACAAGAGTGTGTGTGTGTGTGTATATATATATATATATATATGTATGGAGTATTGTTGCCATATATGGTCTGGTGCCCCTTCTGTTTGCCTCGGGGTTCTTGATAGGCTCCAGAGGCGGATATGCAAATATAGTTGGCCCTGCTCTGGCATCTTGTCTACAGTCACTTTCTCACAGAATAAATAGCCTCCCTCTGTCTGTTCTACAAATACATTCATCGAAATTGCTCCGAGGAGCTGCATTCGCTGGTTCCCAGATGTTATGAGTTCAAGCGCCCTATGAGGATGGCATCCCGCTCTCACCCCTTCACTGTCAAAACTCCTAGCTGTAGTCGTCTCTTCTACTCCAATAGCTTCATGTCTCGCACCTCTCGCCTGTGGAACTCCCTTCCCTATTCCAGTTTCCCTGAGAGCTATAATCTCCAGCTATTCAAGTGTAATGTCAACCGACATCTCCAGTTGCCTTGATCTATCCACTACCCTCCTCATCCTTTCTTCTATCACTATCTGATCTTGCTCTAGTGGCTTCCCGCCTTGCTTGGGGTGAAATGTTTAAAAATATATATATATATATATATATGAAGAATATACACTTAAGGTGTGCTATACTTATGGGATAAAGTGCTCAATATCAGAGATAGAGCGTGTGTAAATATAAATATAAAAGTGAACATTGAAGTCAACACTTAGAAGCGACAGGCTGTTACATGCTAGACACAATTGTCAGGTCATGAGTGTTGTTTTGTTCTCAGCTATCTATATATCCGGGTCAGTGGTGCATTGTGGGTAGTCTATTTTGGCGGTTATTTTGCCGGAAGTCATTTATTTGTTTATTTATTTATTTGGGTTAAATTATTTTGCTTCTTTTCATTTATTTTCATTTTTTATTTCTTATCTTATATATTTATTTATTTTTATTTTAATCAATGTTTTATTAAAGTAGTAAAAATTTGTTTATATCGCTTATTTAATAGTTTTGTTTTGGGAAGATAATTAAAGCTATTTATTCAATTTTGGGGTTGATTGTTGTAGTTTATTCGAGCCATTATTTTGGCAGGAGCAGTTTTTAATTTGTTTACTTTATTTATTTATTATTTATCTGGATTGATTATCTTGTTTTTTTTAACAGTTAATTTATTGGGATTGGTTTGTTAGTTTATTTATTTATTTGGATTAATTTAGATTAATTTATTTTACTTGTTTTTTATTATTTATTTATTATACTGTATATTTTTATTATTATTATTATATATATATATATATATATATATATATATATATATATATATATATATGCTAACAATTCTTCTAAATTATTTTTATAACTTGTGGAACTATTTTCTAAATTTTCTTGCTTTCCTGTCAACAATGATATTCAAAAATTCAAATGCAATGTCAATCGCTATCTACTGTCCTCCTGATTGCTCCTTCTTCTTCCCAATCATTAGTAATGTTTCTGTTCCTAATTCTTCCACGCCCAGTAACCCCTTGTATCTTAGTGGCTTTACTGCCTTGCATGGGGCGATGCCAATTAAAAAAGAAAAAAGTTGTAATTTGTAAATGTTATACTAATAGTTTCTTCTCTCACACTTCTCGCTTGTGGAACTCTTTTCTGACTTCTTGCTTTTCTATCAAATACAATCTTCAAAAATTTAAATGTAATGTCAATCATCATCTTCTGTCTCCTTGAAACCTGTTCTTTTATTGTCCTCACGGTTTTTTTTTTGACTCTTAGTAATCCCTTGTGTCGTAATGGCTGTTACCATCTTGCTTTTTAATCAATTAACCCCAATCCAGGCGGCTTACGGCCACATCATATTGAAACACCAGTTCCGTACGATTAGCAAAGTTAAGCAACTAGATGGGTGACCTCTTTGGAATACTAGGTGCTGTAAGTTTGGATGTGTAATTGGTGTAATGTCTAATGGCTCAAAATGTATTTTTGCATATTGTTTATAGTTATATATATTATATATATATATATATATATATATAACGAAAGAAAACGAGAGACCAATTCACCTTTCTATATAAAGTGATTTCTTCTGGTGATTTAAAAGAATGGCGACTAGAGGCAATTAGCTCACCTCTTCTGAAATAGAATTTTGTTATTTTAAAGTTGACAAATGAAACATGATAAACTATTTATGTCTTGAATTTCTTTTAGCCTCTGGGTTATATGTATATAAATGGATAGAAGATGAGTTACTAGAGGTGCTGTGAAATATTCTGTTCTTACTGAATGGGCATTTCATCCAATTGATGGCAGTAAACAACGGCAGTGATTCTCTGCTTAGATTCCGCAAAGCTAATACCAATGACAGACCACCAGACAATCACCATAACCTTCTGTTTGTGCAATTTCGGCCATTTTGTCATGATCAAACAATTCAGCCGATCATTTACGATTATTGTAAGGGATCCATTTCTAATCCCAATTAACTATTTGTCCTGTTCTTTCATTCTTTAAATTGCTAGTTGTAACTTGTAAATTCTATGCTAATAGTTACTTCTCTCACACTTCTCGCTTGTGGAACTCCCTTCTGACTTCTTGCTTTCTGATCTTCAAAAATTTAAATGTAATGTCAATCATCATCATCTTAGCAAAGTTAAGCAACTAGATGGGTGACCTCTTTGGAATACTAAGTCCTGTAAGTTTGGATGTGCAGTTTGTGTAATGTCTAATGGCTAGAAATGTATTTTTGCACATAGTTTATGGTTATGGATTTATATATATATATATATATATATATATATATATATATATATATATATACATAAAA